GGTGTGTGGGGGGGGGGGGGGGGGTTGATCAGGGAAGACAAAATATTAGCAGATGAAACTTGCACCTTTTTGTGTTGGGTCATTATTTGGTTATTCCTCTTCTGTCTGCAGGAAGCTGCTACTGGCAGTGGACGCTACGGATGAGAACTACATGCCCAAAAGAGTGATGGTGTACGGGGGTGAGCGCGACGCCTTGAAGAAGCTGAGTGACATCCACATAGACGAGTGAGTATAGCGCTGAGGTCACATGATCACCGTGAGGCCGATTTCAGTTAATTTCACTGTAAAGGACCCGCGATGGATTCTCGTCTGTTTTTGTTCCTTATTCTACAAACTCCGCCTATGTGCCTCCGTGTTCCCCTACGGCACTGCCTCCGACCAGAAGTTCCAGTATGGGGCGAGTAGGAGTATCATCCTTTACACTACCTTGGCACTTTAATTCCCCCTTCTTAAAACAATCGCACAACATTGGCGCTCGGTTGCACTTTAAACAACCCGTAACTCCCCGCAGTTTTTTTTTTTGCTGTTTCACAGGGACGCACCCTACCCTGTTTCCCTGAAAATTAGGCCTACCCCGAAAATAAGACCCAGTTGTGACCATTCAGCGGTGCCAACGAAGCCGGCGCTAGAGGAAGCGAGGCGGCAGCGGATGGAGCAGAGCCGCATAAGCCGACGCCTCCTCTATAGCGACGGCTCCGGTCACAGGCGGAGTGATACCAAATGCGCTCCGCCTGTGAGGAATCCATAGTGAAAGCTTCCCTCATTCTGGCCAGCGATTGGTTAGCAAATTGCTCTTGGAAAGGTACGGCGCCCCTGACCCCCCGATCACCATATGTTTGTACATGAATAAGTGCGGATTGTTGTACATTAAAATAAAAATAAGACCGACCCCCGAAAATAAGACCCTAGTGTCTTATTTTCGGGGAAACACGGTATGTACCCGATGCAACCTCATAAAAAATAGTACATTGCAGCCAGTGTTATTCTTATTCCGCTTCCAGAAAACATTTCATTGGTGAAGAAGGGGGGAGGGGGGTGGTGAAGCAGTTTTCCAGAAACAAATTCAGATTTTAACGTGTGACCAATTAAATAAATTGCTCCGGACGTGAAGTGGTGAACACTTCATAGGTGTTATCACTTCAACATTGGTCCTCCGTTGCCCTTTAA